CTTCTTTGGAGATCTTTAAAACCCGCTTGGATGCAGCCCTGTGCCACGTGCTCTAGGTGACCCTGCGTGAGCAGGGGGGTTGGACTCGATGACCTCTGAGGTCCCTTCCAACCTTCGGCATTCTATGATTCTATGATCTTTTGCTCTGCAAAACTGCTCACGTGCAAGACTGAGTACTTCTATTTCCATGCAGGGCAGACCTTCAGGATTTGAAGATGGGTTGTCTTGTCATTCATGAACAAAAGAGTTCATGAATGTCTCTTCATACAGGAATGTCATTCATTCATACAAGAAAAGTAAAAAAGTTTTCAAAAATACACACATACCATATGAATATGACTTTTTTTGCATTCTCCTTTGATGCTTCTTAAGTTGAGCATCTCTGAAAATGTCCTGGTCTCATTAGCAGTGGATTTGATCTCCTTTAGTACCTTCTGTGTTATCAAATAATTCTGTAAGGTGTAAGATCGTGTTTTCATAACAGCACATGGAAATATGAAAACATATAACAGATTGATACACATTTRCAATGTAGACAGGCTGAACTGGTGCATACTTATGTGAATAGCACATTTCATTCACTCTTTTCCTAAAATGTTGCATTTACCAGATACAACAAACTCAAAGAAAAGAAGACAAAATTTCTGGAGAACATTGCAGTCTATGGAGATGCTTTCCTTTTGTTGCCAGCATTTTCCTTCAGAAGCAACACAGCCACTTCTTTTAAAGTATATCAAACTCTGAAGGAGTTYAAAGCAACACAGAGGGCAATATTTTTTCACCCCACTTACCTGAAAAGTCTTGCCCAGTTCTGGAGAACTAAGGGAGTGAAAGCCTACCGACTCTCGTCTGGTTTTATGATCATGAGTGCTGCTCTTGAGCTSTGTGAGAATGTGAAGGTCTATGGCTTCTGGCCTTTCTCCAAATCCACAGAGAAGATGCCCATTAGCCACCACTATTACGACAACCAGCTGCCTAAACCGGGCTTTCACGCGATGCCCAAAGAATACAACCAGATCCTTCAGCTTCATGGCAAGGGCATTTTGAAGTTGCAGTTTGGTAAATGTGAATCAGAATAAAAAGGTGAGTCACCTTCACTATTTATTTATTTATTTATTTATTTATTTATTTATTTATTTATTTATTTATTGCAAACAGTTTGGGTCTGTTCTTCCTTACAGAGACATTTCTTCCATAAAATGAGGGAAAGTTGTGTTGATAAATAAGTGAAAGACGGAGTTTACTGAATAAATATGAAGTATCACAGAGTTGGAGGGGTCTAATTGTTGACTTTAGACGGAGGGTATAGCAGATCATGTGTGATTKCCATAACTCATAGCCAGTTAGTAGTGTCTCCTCATCCCAGGTGCATTTCTCACGCAGCCTGTGTCTGGCTGGGTATCAGATCCCATGCATCAGCTGCCTGTGTGAACTGCTTTATTGGAGGTGATCACAGCCTGGGGTCTACCAGAGAAGGAGCTGGTCCTAGCACAGCTGCAGCCTTTCCAGGCGTGTGCAGAGGCCAAGGTAAGGAGTCAGATTGCCCCACGAGGAAGTGTCGTGGACAGGCGGCCGTGTCCCCTTCGSTGGCACGGGGTAGGGTTCAAAGAGCAGCTGGGGCACCGGCAGCAGCGGGAAGCTGCCCTGCCCTGCAGCAGGTTTTGCTGAGCACTTTGCCCAGAGGCAGCCCAGAAGCTGGGCAATTGCAGCATCAAGTGTCTTTCCCTCTGCCTCATCCCTTCACACTCTCCCACCCTCCTTCTGTGGATGCCTCAAGGAAGGGCAGCCCCTGACCTTGAGCCAACGCACCGGGTTCAGATCACGGGCGACTTTGGAAGGGCTGCTCTGCATGTTTTCCAGCTCCACTTGCCTTGTTGGCAAAATAAGACCTGTTCGTGTGGGTAGTTATTAATCTTCTAAGATAACTGAGAAAGTCCCACTTGGAAATACTGCCCTCAGATTTGCCTTCCAGAGCGCTGTGTTTCCAGGGAGTGCAAGTTAATGTACTGCTATTGTACAGTGCTTTAACTGGACTGATGTAATTCTATATTTCTTAAGTTAGATATATAAAAATAGCATCTGCTTGCTCAAGCCTGAATTTTTAAGTTCAAAAGCTAAGAAGGGTTTTTCTTCTGGTTAAGTTATAATGTGAATTTGAAAGTAGCCTTTGATGGTATTTAAAAAAGTTGCCGTCAAAGATGCATTTCATAGTTGATTCATGATCAGGAACTGAATATTTATAAACTATCAGATTGCCAATGTCAAGAAGACACAGTTTTGCTCAGTTTCCTTTTCAAGAAATAGATAAGGAAACTGCTTACAAGTATTATTAAAATATATAGAAATACAGAAATTATAGAAAGCAAAGCTGCAAGGGATATAGGGGCCATTTAGTGAATCCATTCCCCCTAGTGTATGAGCCTGTAGTCTAAGAGATTACATGGAAGGAAGTGTAGGTGTATACAGTTTCATGTGGCTAACTTTTGCTTTTTTCCCCCATTTAAAAGGTTTTATTGCATTGGAAAGGTTAAGAAATACATAATGTATTTCTTGCTAGTATRCTTAGCCGCTAAGCTGTTTGCATCCTGCAGTTTCCCTTGTATTTATTCTTCCTGGAATATTAATCCCTGGGGTTGAACCATGTAATTTTAATTGTAGTAACTACATTAGCTAAGAAAATGAAAACAACCCGTTATGATTTTTTCATCCAGAAAGAGGCAGATAGAAGCCACAAAAATGTTTAAGCATCTGTATGGGTTAATTAAATGCTGTCCSTGCTTGCCAGACTGAAAATCACTTGTGTGGCCAAATTTGCAAAGTAAGCTGCAAAGGAGAAAAGAAAAACAAGTAGAAGGATAACTTGTGCCCTAACACTTTTTGCTACTATGTAAATCACTTAGATTTAAGGGAAAAAAATGACCTTTTAAGAAGAAAGAAATGAAATGCTTCCAATGTGAACTACYRTTCTCCTATAATTATTAGCTATTAAAGGTAATTGAAATTCTATAATAGATATATTTCAGCACAGATGGCCCTTTAAAATAAATACCAATCTCATTTTTCTTCTAAATTTCCTGTTTCGGTTTTCCTGTCCGTCCCCCTCCCGCGGTGCTTGGCTGGCTTAGGAAGGTTCCTTCCACCCCCAGGTGCCCGCGGAAGTCTCGGGCAGGGCTTTCTGCACACACRGCTGCTCCCCAGAGTTTGCTGCTGTAGATAAGGGGTGAATGAGGCTGATGTGCTGCAAACAGCTACGGGCTGTGGGCCCTGCAACACCACGGGGAGAGCATCCCTGCCTCCTTGTGATGCATTTTGCTCCTAAACTCCATCCATACCACCCGAGAGGTGACTTGTGCTCCATGGGGACAGGGAGTTGTCAGAAGTGGGAGTCCCTCAGAACTGGTTCTGCACAAGGTGGAAAACTCCATCTGCCTTAATGTCCACTCACACGAGGTGAGGATGGGGCTCAGCAGAGACACAGCTCCCAGAGCAGATGCTCTCCTATCAGAGAGCATGAGTGAGAATATGAGGCATCAGCAAAACCTGGAAATAGAATAATAATCTATATTATTTTGTATTAAATTACAGAATCATTTCTGCGATGGCCCTGCAGCTGAAGGAAGTCTTGTTTGCTCATTGCTTTAACCTGATAAGCCTGAAAGTCATGCTATTAGCTTCAAGCAAACATAGACTCGAGGAGGGGAAATGGCCTGACTCCTATTTAAAAATAGACAGAAAAAAAAAATGATTAGAAAAATTGTCAGATGATAAATTAATCAGACAGCAAAAATCTGATTGCCCAGAAGCCTGCTTGAAATGCAAATATTTTTCTGCCAAGAAAGGATCCGGTTTCATGCCTGCTAGGAGGAGACAGCAGGGAGGATGAGGATGCCCTACTGTGCCCTGCAGCCCAACGGGGCTCCGAAGCCCATGGAAAGGGAGCCGAGAGAGGCGGAGGAGCAGGACAGGAGCTCCACAGATGTGGAGAAGGGGCTGCTCAAGCTCAGCCCGTGGGTTACCCGCAGGGCAAAGCTGGCCCCGAGCTTTTAGCCAAAAGGGCCCCACGGCTGGCAGAAGAGAAGCTGTGCAGCTCCCTGCCAAGGCATTGCTGGCTGCAGGGCTCCGCAGGGAGCAGCTGGATGCATCTCTGCCTGCTCAGGGACTCCTGTCAAGGAGAATTGTGTTGTTCCTAACTCTATCAGCATATCCTTTTTTTTTTTTTTTTTTTTCTATTGGAAATTGCTGGCAGACCAAGTAAGTTATTTAGAGTAATAGGGCACCTACAGGAGCTTAAGGCTCCTAGAATTCCCTTGTGCCTGTGGTGTCGCACTGTAGCTGCAGCAATACCTGCTGCCCCCCAGTTTACCTTTAATTACCTGGAGAAAGATGACACAACATGTTGAAAATAAGAACATTCTGCATTGCTGTCTGACAGTGAAATTTCAGCCTGTTCTTGACTTGGACCAATATTATCCAGCCCAAAATTACTTAGATTTATACAATATTGAAAGAAGGATCTTTTTTAGTACATGTGTAATATAGCTCTTAAGCATACACTTCTCTTTGCTCATGTGTTCAACTACTGAACTAAGTGTAGGTGTTGAGAAAATCAGAGAAAAAAACCAGTGGAGTTAAGCTGCTTCTGTTTAGATAAAAATTCCCAAAATAGAAAAAGTCTTTTAAATTTTAAATCAAATGAAAAACATTTGCAGCTGATTTTTTTCCCCAAGAAGGAATTAGCCAACTGAAGAAGCAGAAGCATTTCATTCCCTAGATGTTTTAGCACGTGATTATGATAATCTAATATATTTATATTCAGATGTCCCATCCAGATGCTGGTTAGATCCAGCCTTGTTTAGCTTAGGAAAACTGAAGAGGACGGTGCAGGTGGAGTAAGTATGAGCAGTTTTGGGGTATCCAATGGAGGAGTCYTCCTTACAAAGAGCAGATACTCCAGCTAGACCAGGCAGTGCCAGTCCTGCCACCCTGGAGAATTCTGTGTGCCTGTGTAAGAAATGGCACAGAAACACTGTGGTCTGAAATGAGGCTGAAAAGCAGATGCAGAAGGAGAAACACGTACACAAAGGGCTAAGCTACTGTTTTATTTTGAATATGACAAGCAGTTTTGCTATTACACGAGAAACACCAATAACGTGTTTTGTTGTTTTAATTTCAGGGTGACGATTGGAAGGAGAGAATTTGAGATTTGAATCCCAGCTGTTTGGCGTTGAGTTTGATCCGATGTGATTTTTTGAGCGTTAAACTGCATTATCATGACAGAGGAATATTTTACATTTGGGAAGAAAATGAGATGATTTTTGACATAGTGATTGCTACATTTCGGAATCTTGACTGATCTTTTTTTTTAATGAAAAATAACATATATTTGGGAAATTTTAAAACTCCTGACTATTGGTTTAATCATAGCAAAGCACAATCTCAAGATGGTGGCAATAGGTGACATTCATTATGTTTTACTTCTTAAATTATAATCTTTTGTTTACAATATTTTGACATAAAATCTCTATTTTTGTTAACATCATGTAATACAGGCAAGAGTCACTTACGTGGTAGCTGTATAAGCCAGGAGTGAACGTTTTCAGTTAAATTCTTGATCTATAACCACTAAGGTTTGCCTGCATGAGAAAGGTGGTGAAAGACCTATAGCCGAGTGATTAACTCAGAGCTAAATCATTTTTTAGTTTGTCTCGGGGGACATTGATGAAAAAATCCCCCAGGTTAGTGAAATATTTTATGTACTCTAAGTTGATGGCAAATAGATAACACTGTGGATTTAAATGGGATCACTCATGTTTATTTTGTGACCAAGTGTTGCCAGGAGCAGGGTTTATTTTTAAACCCTTTTTATTGGCTGTGTTGCTGTCTAAGGTCCAGGTGAGCTCCAAGGGAGAACACTGAGAGTCACTTTATCGTATGAGGAGAGACCGAGTGAGCTGGGCCTATTTTCAATGGAGAAGAGGAGGCCGAGAGGGGATCTGATTAATATATATAAGTACATGAAGGGGGAATGTAGGGAGGAAGGAGCCAAGCTCTTCTCAGCGGTGGACAGTGACAGGACAAGGGGTAATGGGTGTAAGTGGCAACACAGGCAGTTCCATCTCCAGGTGAGGAAGAACTTCTTTGCTGTGAGGGTGACAGAGCCCTGGCMCAGGCTGCCCAGGGAGGCTGTGGAGTCTCCTTCTCTGGAGATCTTCCAAACCCGCCTGGATGCCGCCCCGTGCTCTGGGTGTCCCTGCTGGAACAGGGGGTTGGACTAGATGATCTCTAGAGGTCCCTCCCAACCTCAACCAGTCTGTGATTCTGTGGTTCTGTAAGCTAGGCTCTGTGCTGCCGATCCCAGAGTCCCAGCAGGGCGTGAGTTTGCAGTCATGTCTCCCATCCCAGGGCCATATCTCCGCCTGCATGTAGGCTGGACCAAGCACCAGCTAAATGGAACTATGTCCTCCCTGTCCTTTTTCCTATTTCTCACCTGACATGGCAGCTATGGATATGTGACTGCAGATAAGGAAACTGCATTAAGCATTATTAGAAGACAGTTCCTCTTATAATCAGCTCCAAACTCCTCTCCCGCACCAGAGCATATGATAAAAGAACCTTTGGTCACTTAAACCTTATGTGATTCTAGTGCTTAAAGTTTCCATATATTCCTGTAATACCCATGGAGCAACATACTGCGACAGGAGACAATGAAATACCAGCCCCAATGGAAATAATCACATTAACATTTATGGAAGGGCATGCAGTTATCCCCCTAGCTATGGTTGCCTCTATATTATTGCACATATATTTTATTGCAGAACCCCCCAAATTATAATAACCAGTTTCTGTTATAAAAAGAATTTTGGTGTTGTTTTTGGGTGTGTTGAAGTTGAATGAGCAGTGCAAAGATGGAATGTCCTTTTTACCCTTCTTGTATAGGCAGATAAAATATCACATATTTTGTTTACTAAAAGTCATTTTATCACTGTAGCAATAAAKCCCCACTCAGCTGAAGTTTAAAGAGCATTCAATATTCCCATCATTGAAGACAGCTTGTTGAAAAAATATCTTAATTAAATGAATTGGACCTTATAAAATAGATTGCTAAACTGCTACTTTATAAGAGTATTTCTATATTGCTGTAACATTTGAAAGCTTATCTTGTAGCAGTCTTATAGTCATATAAATMATCCTAAAAATATTAGCCTCAATCATTATGATTCCAGGTCTGTTACTTCAGCATTTTGATCCATTTCCAAGATAAGGGTATCAGAATCCAATACTACTCCTAACCAAGAAAAACTCTCCATAAATCCTGGCCGTATAAACTAGCAATAAAGTCAGTTTGATGTCAAATACAGTTCGAATAAAGTAGATGATGCTTTGAATGATTAGATGCTACCACTAAGAGAAGAGAAGGTCTTTGAGGGCTTTGGGCAGAAAGACAGAGCTCCTTGTGCTGCCTGCAGCGCGGTGGGAGCCCTGGTTCAGCCGGGACGGGAAGGACATTGGGCAGGTGAGAGCCTCCAACCACATCCCAATTGCAAAGCAAAGACACATTTGCACCAAAACCAGCCCATGCCACAGGATACATCTCTAATACAGCCTGCTCYTRGTCTACATTCCATTACATACATTAGCCCCTYGTAGCTGGAAACTCTGTGAAGGGATGTCCTTGTCCTTTGGTGGTACAAACACGCAGTACAAACACTTCATGCTTCATCCAAAGACAAAACCGTGTTCAGGCAGGGACTGCAACTTAGTCCAGCTTTAGACCAATATAGTGCAATGAGATAATTGTGCAGTGCTTCTTCCTTCTCACTGTGTTTTCTTCAGCTCATGGCATATTACCTCAGTGGGCTTGTGACATAAGGGTCTACATAAATATTTTTCAGTCCCTCCCCTAGCCATTTATTTTATTCCGTCCTGGCTAGCCTCGCCTTCAAAAGCTCAGCCTAGAGAAAAATTAATGCCCTATGATTTTCATTTTACTTACAAGTGAACAGCCTGGGGAGTAAAGACTGAATTAATCTTTCCAGGAAATTTCCAGTTGCCCTTTTAATTCCTCTTACAGCTGACTCAGGAAAATTCAATTTTCTTTTGCATTGTCCCATAGAGTTATGTGCTGGAGTCTTGGACTGTCTCTATAGCACTGACTTAAACAGGGCTGGATGGTGCCCCCAAGGTGTTGCCACTTGCTCATCTGTGCTGTGAAGCCACCAGGAGGTTCCYGGCAGGCGTTAGACCCCTGCCTACCAGCCCCGCAGGCAACGTGCAGCAGAGCTTGGGAGTTAACCTGCCTGGGCCCCATTCGCAGTAAGCAGTTTTGGGGTTAAAACCATAGCATTATCTCAGTGAATAAACATATAGACTGCATCATAGTTCACACCATGGCGAACTGAAGTGACTGCGTGTCTGGACTATTTCTGTGCAGCTGTGTTGCTTATAGCATATATTAATAGCAAGAAAGTTTGTTGGGATGTGTTTTAGAGAGCATTAGCTGAAAACAAGGAATCTATTCTAGTTTCCTTGATAATAAACTGCTTAACTATAGGAGTTTGGTGTGTAAATCACAAACGAGAGCAAATAGCTCTGTGACATGAACAGAAATGTTTTAATGCTGTATTTCAGAGAAATTTAAACTTGCTTTTGACTTGAAGACTGATCTTTATGCTCTTAAAGCTCTCTGAGGTTTATGTGGTGCACAGGATTGACAAGAAATACAGGGATAAGTTGTGCTTTCCTGCCCCTTCCTACAAATAGTCTCAATTCCTCATAGTATAAAAACTATGCTCTTTTAGACTGTAATTAAGAAGCTCTTTTTAATGTAGTTTCTCAGTTCTTGCTCCAGCCAGGGAGTTGTGTGGTGTCAGTTGCATCCCTTTCCCTTTGCAGATCTGGTGCTTGATTTTGTTGTTATTGCTGCTGTGTGCTTGGTTCTTGTTAATTTGAGCTGGGCTGGGCACGCTAGTATCAGCGCTGCTGTGTGGCAGGGTGCAGTTGGCTTGAGCAAGACGTGCTGAATTATTGCAGTCACCGTGGCAAACCTTCTCTGATAGCTGAATAAAATGTTTCTGGTTTATTTGACATCTCTGCCAGGTTAATGACGAATAGATGAATTTTGAACTAGGGCCTTGAAATGTTTGCAGTGTTTTTCACAGGACCAAGCCAAGTGCGTTTTTGATTAAGTATTCTTGACCAAAGGCTAGGAAGAGCTTTTCAGTTCCCCTGACTTACTGTGAAGAATAACCATTTTTAGGGTTTGTGGGCCTCTGGTGCTGTCATGCRCTGTGGAGTAAATGATGAGATTAAACAGTTTTCTAAAGATAGAAACACTGACAATGTGCTAATAGTTCCTGTGCACCTTTGCAGAGACTGACAGTGTCCTTGTACATGACTGGTTCACAGCACTGGTAGATTAAATTCTTCTTGTCTGATTTTATTCCTTTTTCTCCTCTGAATCTTTAATGCCACGTTTTCCTGTAGGACCCACTGCTGTCTAGAGCTGGTTCCTTCTCCTCCCATGTGGGAGATTATGTAGATCTGTTCATAACTGATTATGTAGTTCTGTTCAGCGTCTGCTAAGAGTTTCAGAGCTGAGAAGAGGTTGAGACCGTGGGAGTGCGGGGACGCAGCAGGACCCCGATGGCAAGAAGGTGACATGCAGGGTCTCTTTGGGCAGTGGGCAGGCACAGGCTCCCGTGAGGGTGGTTCTCAGCAGGGCAGCCCTTTTCCTGCTGATGTTCAGGAGCCCTTCTCTCCCCAGCAGTGATAGTAGCAGCTTAAACACACGAGGCATCTGCAGTGTTTGATTATTGATCCCCTTTCTCTCTTTTCTCTCCGAGTCATTTGAACAAGATGTCCACCATCACCAGGTTCAGAAATGACAACCATAAATAATGACTTTGACAGGGAATATTCTTTATCATTCCTTGATTCCTTGATTCCTTGCAAGTTATTCAGCATGCCTGTGCTTTCAGTCTATGCTAGACCGAATCTCAAACAAAATCTGCAGAGGACAGAGCTGCACAAGCTCCGGCAGTGTTGAGACCAGTTCACTTCATTTTGATTCTCTGTCTGTTAGACACCAGTGATATTTCTGATGCATTGCAATATTTTATCCAAGAAGAAATTCTCTATGTTATGTGAGCCAGAAGACACAAAATGATATAGGTGACCTAGCACCTTCTGTGGACTTCTCAACTAATAGAAAAAAAAAATACAGTGTCATATGCTATTTGCATATATCTGATGCAGATATTTGGGTCTGTTGGTTGCTCTGGGTTAATTAATCACTTAAACCTTGACTCTTTGAGAACCCTTGTTAGAACTATRGCCAGATGAGACAATCTAGGCTTAAAAAATGTATTTGACTTGGAGATCTTTCTCTGTTCTATCACAGAATCATAGAATGGTTGAGGTTGGAAGGAGCCTCTGGAGATCATCTAGTCTAATCTCACTGCTTAAGAGGAGTCACCTAAAGCATGTGGCACAGGATCATGTCTGGGCAGGTTTTGAATAGCTCCAGAGAAGGAGATTCYGAAACCTCTCTGGAGAACCTACTTCAGGGCTCTGTCACTCTCGTGATCAATAAGTTTTTCCTCAAATTCAGTCAGAACTTCCCGTATTTCAGTTTGTGGCTGTTGCCTCTTGTTTTATCACTGACCTCCACCGAAAAGAGTCTGGCCCCCATCCTCTTGACCCTCCCTAAAGATATGTGTATACACTGACAAGATCCCCTCTCTGTCTTCTCTTCTCCAGGCTAAACAAGCCCTTCTCTCTCAGCCTCTCCTTGTAGGAGAGTTGTTCCAGTCCCCTGATCACATTTGCAGCCCTCCGCTGGCCTCTCTAGTAGCTTCACAYGCTTCTTGTACTGGGGACCCCAGGCCTGGACAGAGGTCTCCAGACAGGGCCTCGCCAGGGCTGGGCAG